CAGCTTCAACCAAGAATATTTTGCACTTTGTTTTAAGGATAAATTATCCTTTATCCAAAATTATTTATATTTGGCGCTATTACAAGGATAAAATATACTTATGAATCAAGGCATATTTGCATTCTTTCAAGGATACTGTTTTTTCTGTAAAGAATTCAACTTTGGCGCGTTATCGCGATTCAGAAACGTCGCACGTTTTTTCTCTCCATCGAAGAAACCAAATTTTCAATAAAATTGAAATCAATGTTAATCAAGAAATTCTTTTAGCCCGATAAGTTTGTGCGAGGAAAAGAAAGTTTGAATAATAAACGCTAAGTTGATTCAAATCCTCGAAAAGAAAAATCCAATTAAATCCCCAGTATTTTTGCGAGCGCGCTTTTTACAATACTTGCGAATATCTCGAGGTCACGGGAGCTGGAGCGGAAGAAATTGTCGTGTTTAACAACAGTCGTTCAAGTTTTCCACTTTCCAGCACGCTGTCACCGCGTCGCATCGGCCTGCACACGGATATCGGCAAAGTTTGCAGTAACTTCCTTCCTCCTTCCATTTACAACGGCAACTCGTTTCTCGCTTTTCTCTATCTTCGACACAGCCGGGATTAAGGAATCCTTCGAGGGAAGCTTTTGCGAAAGTTCGCGGCACGGACATAAATTACCGCGGTCGGCCGCATGGGAGCAAGAATGAAATGCAACGAGATAGGTAAGAGAAGAGAGAACGTGGCGGGAAATCGAAAGCGAACGCGAGATATGTATAATTGGTATCGATAGGTATAATTGGCTGATCGAGAGGAGAGTGTTTATTCAGCCTTCTCTCGCTCCTGTCGCTGTCGAGTTATTTATCAGCGCAGGCTTTTATTACCGCGTGCACTTAGGAAATTAAACCACGAGCGATGTTTCAACGAAATACTGTTCTCTATTATTTCTCTCTCTCTCTCTCTCTCTCTCTCTCTCTCTCCCTCTGGCATTAGAAATAGTGCATATTAATTTGATTAACCGATGCTCGTTAATTTTTTTCTATGGCGAACGACGAGAGATATAAATAAATACCATCGTTCGAAATCATCGATAATTTATCGGGATATATATGTTTCGAAATTATTTATTAAAATATTATTAAATTTTGTTTCGCTTTGTAAACGAATTTCAACGCGAGACAATGTATACAGATTTCTTGTCGCGTATTCATAATCTTTTTTCTCGCTTTCAAGAGCTAGTTAAAATTAGAGGTCTCGATATCCAATATTCCGCGAGAACAAAAACTTGTGAATATAACTGGGATGCAAGAAATCATCGGACGAGATCCAGGTGGACGAATAACAAGACGGTTCCGCCGGGACGATAATTGAAGGATCCAAATGATACTTTGATGACCATCCCGCTCTCGAGTTTCCTCGCGAGAGGAGCTTTTTCATCTGGAGCGTGTTTCTTCAGCGCACATCGCAGAAACGTATTTTTCTTCCTCCTCTCTACGAAACGCGGATCACTCTAGCGATAGTAATAAAGCGGCATGAAAGAGAGGAATAAAACAGGATAAGGTTTATTGCGCGCGTTCTGGAGAAGATCCTTTCTCTCTCTTTCTCTCTTGCGAAATAGATATAAAAACTGGAAGGTGTGGAGAATAATAATGAGAAAAAAATATTCTATAAAATTCTATACAACGCTTAAATATACCTACCTATTATTGCAAGCGATACACAGTCGCGTAACAGATTAATAATGTAATTTTAATATTAAAAATATATTAAAAAATGGATGATAAGAAATGAATATAAAATGAATAAAAAGATTGAATACACGCACGGCTAAAAAATGATATGATATTATCAATCTTTTAAAATCTGTTAATGTATAGAAGCAGGGTTATTGATCTGTGATAAAATGACGGAGCTCGACGTAAAAGTCGCAATATTGAGGGAAAAGAACAAAACTATATTTTCTGATACATCTTTCTTTGTGCGACTTCTTGGAAAAATCGCCAGAAAGAGAGATACAAGGTTTCATTATTACGATACAACAGTGCAATCGGTGAAGCGGACACATCGTCGATGGCACACAGGCTTCGAAACGAGATCTTGTTCGTTGATACGAGTTGCAGTCGACAGAACACATTTTTCTTTATGTTAAAGGAAAGCAAGGAAGACACAAGAAAGGAAAAGGGAAGGTGACAGACGGCTCTCTCGTGTTTTCGCGTAATCCGACGAAAAAAAAATAAGAGAAGGAGGAAATGAGGGCGATATCCCATCCGCTTTCATCTTCTGAAGATGACGGCAGGACAAAACAACTGACGTAAACAATCAACCCGCCGGTCCAGACAGAAGATGGAAGGAAGAGGAAACAAAAATCGCGGTCACCCCGCGGAAAATCATGCGGGAAGAATTTTAGCGAATTTCATCGCGCGAACTGGAATGCGAAACTGGAGAACGCAAACCGGAGAACATCCCGGCGAAATGGCTAGGATGAGAGTTCATTCTTGATCCACCGTCGAGAGATTCTTTAAAGAAATATTACGGCCAACTATGTCTCTTTGCGTCGCGGAATTTTCTCGACGAATTTCTCCATTATGTACTTTTCCGTTTTATTTTCAGCCGAGTACTGTCAGTTGAGTTGCTTCGACGTCTTTGCATAGATTAATTTTTTAGCAGAAAGATATTACGTAAATATTGTATATATATATATATGTAAATACACACATAAATTCTACATGATATAGATATTTTTAATTTAAATCTTTAGCATTGAATAATAAACGAAATCTTTGTACTTATAATTCTACGCAGAGAGAATTTTCTCTTAAAATTTATCTTGAAAATCATGGTAATCGTGGAACAATATGATATTGGAAGAATTTTATGAGTTTCTCTGATTAAATATTTACCACAATAAAAAATATTAATATCTACTACAATAAGATATAAAATATATTGTCTCACGATTACCATAATTTTCAGAGTAAATTCTAAGAGAAAATTGTCTCTGTGTGTAAGATTAATAATATAAATAACACTTTTATATTTGGCTTTCTTTAGATATTTGCTCTGATTATTTTAACGAAATGAGAGATTCTTTTATCACAAAAATTTTATATTTCTAACAATAGATGTTTTTTAATTATTTTGCCATACGCGATATTTCAATTCAGTACAATTTTCCTGCGCAAGGATATCACAATTTTCACACCAAAAATAATTTGTTTGAGAAACAGAATACAATGCTATTTTCTCGCGCCAATTTAATAATTACAAAATTAATTAATCGATTAAATATCACGCGAAAATTATCAGTCGAACATTAACGATCAGATATGCTTTACTTACACTTTTCTACGCGATTCTCAACTCGCTGCGACTCGTCTGACAGCTTGACTGACGATCTATGAGCGAAAGCGCGCGAGTCGCGCCGAACAGCTGATTCACTCACGTGACCGAGCGAATCGGCCATGCGTACGCGCGTAGTAGCCACGACCTACCCCACTCCCCTCGTTCCGCACGTGCGACCAGTCATTCATAAATTGAGCGCGCGTTTGTAATTTTACAAGTGGCAATAACTCTGTAGAAAATCAACGTAACGACGTATGATACAAAAATTAATCTCTAGGATTCGCGATCGCGCATTTTTTATTCGTCTCGCAAATGCAGTCATTTTAATTGCTTGTTTAAAATATAAAAAAAAAATGTATTCAACTGTCATCGTATGTTGGAATATAATTTTTTCGATTATGCAATGAAGAAACATTTCAGCCGAAATGCACGAAATATTTTACATTATATCTAAACATTTTTGAATAAAACATAAAGATTCTTTTCATCTCGATTTGCAATGAAATTCGCTTCAATCCACAGAAATGCATTTTCGTAAGATTTGTCTTGAAAAGAGTACCTATATATATATCGTGTTTTGCGGGCATATAAAAAAAACTGGGTTAGAAATTATGAATATGTTATGATATAGTTTGATCTTACTTTTCATCTTAAAAATTTGTTCAAAACTTCAAGATCCGTTTGCATAGATCTTTCTCGTTTTACCTTATTTGATCGTGAAAAGTCGGAGAAACACTTAAACATTTATAATTCTGAAAGACAAAGACGATCACAATTGTCGCCGTTCCTGCGACAACGTTTACCGTTTAATTCATCATGTTTTTCTACGCACAAAACTCTATGTATTTTTTGCTACGTGCGTACGATTCAAATATTGATACTGCAAATAGTTCGCGAAAACGCAGCGTGAACGCGAGTTGCAACTAAAAATAAAAGAGAGAAATGCGCGGAATGATCACGTACACGATCGACGATGTACCCTTTTTTAAATTTCTTTTTTATTCCATACTCGTGGTTCCATCCACCATACCGGAGAACGAAAACCCTGTATTTCGGGCGAGCACAAATGTCATAAATATTTCACGCAACGCACGTATATCACGCGAACTTCGCGGTTTTATTATTCCTCTCGCAGAAGTTACGCGGCCAATCTTTATTCCTGCGGGACTATCATTTTATTTACACAAAAATGTGCGATCTCTCAGGCAACCACTCTGTTTTTTCGCTAGTTGCGTCGCTTTTCGCAAATGAGATTTCACCAGAGATTGAATCCAATCTCAAATATGTATACAAGCAAAATAGGTCATTTTTTTTACGATTCATATACAGAGGCTAAAATAATTCGGAGAATTGAATTTCGTAACATATTGTATTATAAGGCTATAATAATTTTCTCAAGTTATTATATAAACGTTTGCATTAGATCTAATGTTTATATAGAAAATTTTAAAAAATCTCCAAGATGCAAAAAATTTACAACCAATGAATTGATTTATACCATTTGAAATTTGAATAAACTTCTTTTTCCTTCTTTTCCTCTCATTCAAGAACCATCCGTTCGTAATATTCGCGCCAATTCCCAGCATCGGAGTTTCGATATCTCGCAGCGGCGACGACCAATGGCGCGAGTGCTAAAGGAGGACGACGCGTACCAAGAACCTCTCTCTTTAGTGGGGTTGTCAGTTCATGCTTGCTCGTGTTCTACATCAGTTGCGAGAGCGACGTTGGTGTGGCGCACAAGTCTCGAGATGGCAACGAGTTGCATTCTCTGCGAGCAACGCTCCGAAAACGCGCACGACATATCGTTCCACACGTAAGAACTCTATACGTGACACATTTGAATATACGTTCTCTCCATGTGATATGAAAAGGTGCAACCACGACGGAAAGAGAAAAAGAGAATGTTGCGCATGCCTTTGTCTTTTAAGCGCATGCGTATTGGAAACTTTGTACAAACTCGGTAAAAAGTTTGATCGGAGCCTTTACTAGAATCAAACGTGAATATTTTTGTTCGTAGAAGTAAGCACATTTTTCTATCGGACTGTATATCGAGAGAGAAACAGTGATCCACGCTCGAGCTATCTCTCTCACAATCACAGTTAATATTTTAAATGACAGTATGCATTTTAATACCTCAAGTGTAATAGATACATGTAAAATGTGTGTGTCTTGTGTAAATAATATAGAGAGATAAGTGATGTCAAACCAATAATTTTACGCAATCTTTGTATGAATTATCTCTGATATATTTTTTATTTTAATTTGACCTAATATTAAAACGATTCTTTTTCCCCCAAAAAAAAAATTTTTATAACACATCACTAAAATAATCATTTTTATAATTATGTGTAATTAATATTTGATAGCATTATTTTATATATGATAGAATTTCATTACTTGGAGAGTTTTGTCGAGAATATTCTAAAAAAAATTGTCAACATTAAAATAAATACATAAAAAATTCGTATAAATATTTATATTATAGAATTTGAATACTTACATATACATATTCAAATAGCATTTATAAATAAAATTTCAACTGTAATAGATTTTCTCTCTCTTTCTCTGCTTTGAATGTTTATAAATCTAGATAGAGAAAATCGTTACGAATCGCAGAGAAAATGTTCAAACATATAAAAATATGCATACAAAATTGTGCTGTCTTCTCTCTATTCGCGTGTTCCTTTTTTTTTTTTAGTTTTCCTGAGAACGAGGATCATCGGAAGAGATGGCTGGACGCGATTGGCAAAACTAATGCAGAAGTGCCTGCTAAATCATCATTGTGTTCGCGTCATTTCTCGCAAAATTGTTTCATAAATTCAAGTCTAATAGATAACGCTGTTCCGACTTTGCAATTGGAGCCATATTGTTCAACGGAAGAAGACCGACCGCAAGAAAACTCGGAAACCGAATTATTCATGCCAATCTCAAGACCGACTATTACAAAGTAAGAAAATAATTAATTATGATAATAATTTATGTTAAAAATAAAATGAGATATTTCCTAACTGACTAAGCTATAAAGTAAATTTTTATGTGGTATATTGATGCAAAAATATAAAAAAAAATTAAGGTCCATCCCTTTAACTACATTTATTGCAGATTATTTTCTTCACCTCTTTTTACAAAATTCAAATATATATTTGATTCAAATGCAAAAAGTGTAATTATATCTCTAACGCGTTTCTAATGTAATTACAAGAATAGATTTCGCAAAAATATAGTATAGTTTGTGCCTGAGAGGGAGAAACAGAGAGAAAGAAATATACGGAATTTACTTAGTCTCTTATCCGAGAAAATGTACGAAATTTGTAATTTAAATGACTTGGCTTAAATGTTTTATCGAATTCTTTCTGGAATTAAATAAACAAGCCATAACGATTGATTTCTATCATCGATCACGTCGCGTTAATCGAATTTCGAGTTTCCCCTACGTTCAACAAACGCGTTGTTTTCCTTTCCAAGAGGACGGCGTATTCACATGTTGTCGGATGAGGAGATGAAGAATACGCAGCCGATCAAGTACGTGCGCTTTCTCAAGAGCGTCAACTGGGACGAGATCTCCAAGGTGCCAGCGGAAGCAAAGATCGTCTGGGAGGTGGCGATGGAGGAGTTGAAGGAGGACAACGAAAAGATAAAGCATCTGCAAGCGCATGTTCGCCAACTCAACGCGACTATTTTAAAACTGAAGAACGCGCTGAAAACGCGAAACAAGAGGAAAACCAAAAGATCTCATTAATTTATAGACTTACAAATATCATTTACACCGTATTTGTACATACATTTTTTTAACTCGATAAATGTCCCGAGGTTCCTGTAGTTTTAAAATTCTTCTCTAGAGAAGAAGATTAAAATAAAATTTCTCAAGCTTCCAACTTCCCATCTTTTTTACGATTTTACTTTCTTGGAATTAAAATGGAATTTTCCCAAAGTTGGAAAATATTTTATCGGTATGATTAACTATTAAATTTTACGAGAAAGAGCAAAGGGAGATTTATATCTTTTATTATAGATATTAAAAAATTAAATTGCGTGTTTAACATTTTTTCCTAATGCTATAACTCTCGGGCTTATTTTCGAAACGATCGATCCACTTGTAGCGTATACGAATGGCGAAGAGCAAAACATTCAAGCGGCTCACTCGAATGGAGAAGTGCCGCAATTACGTTCGCGTGTACGAATAAGACCCGCATTTCTCCCTTTCTCTCTATTGTGGCGAACGAGACCGGGGCTGGTTGTCGCTGTTTGCATTCGACAATGCAACTGCACAACCAGACGCCGCAGCGCAAGCAAATGCGCTCGTCGATGGCGGGATTCTTTCAGGAAAGACAAATGTGAGCCTATACTCGCATTTGCGCTCTCTTCTCCAAGTGACACAATGGGACGTGGTGCACGTAATACGTTTACCGTCGACAATACGAACGGGGAATATTTATACGGGGCAAAAACGGAGTAAACCGGAGAACGAAAACGAGCGAGATGGTTGTACAAGAGAGGAATGAAAGAAGAAGTGCCTCTTTTTATCTTTCAAGTGCGTTATTGTTCAATGTTATTAATAATAATCCTTATAATTAGTCATTTGTATACATTATTGTTAAGCGTTAATTAAAATTAATATTAAATTAGACTGGATATTTAATTTCATTAAATTAATATTAATAATAGAGTGCAATAATTATGTAATTAAAAAGCAATAAATTCAAGAAATTATATTATTATATAAAATATTAGATTTCCTCTTTTTATCTTTCAAGTGCGTTACTTTTCAATGTTATTAATAATAATCCTTATAATTAATCATTTGTACACATTATTGTTAAACGTTAATTAAAATTAATATTAAATTAAACTGAAATATTTAATTTCATTAAATTAATATTAATAATAGAGTGCAATAATTATGTAATTAAAAAGCAATAATTCAAGAAATATATTATTATATAAAATATTAGATTTCCTCTTTTTATCTTTCAAGTGCGTTACTTTTCAATGTTATTAATAATAATCCTTATAATTAATCATTTGTACACATTATTGTTAAGCGTTAATTAAAATTAATATTAAATTAAACTGAATATTTAATTTCATTAAATTAATATTAATAATAGAGTGCAATAATTATGTAATTAAAAAGCAATAAATTCACGAAATTATATAATTATATAAAATATTAGATTTCCTCTTTTTATCTTTCAAGTGCGTTACTTTTCAATGTTATTAATAATAATCCTTATAATTAGTCATTTGTATACATTATTGTTAAGCGTTAATTTAAATTAATATTAAATTAGACTGAATATTTAATTTCATTAAATTAATATTAATAATAGAGTGCAATAATTATGTAATTAAAAAGCAATAAATTCAAGAAATTATATTATTACATAAAATATTAGATTTCCCTTGTGATATATTGTTTTAATAAGATGTATGTTTTATATTAAGTAATTTCGTAACAATTTTGGTAATCATTTTTTCTATCATCGTCTATGCATAGATATATAATAAAAGATTAATTTTAAAGGGTCAAATGCTAAAATTTTGTTTTATATGCTACGTCAATGTTAATTTAAAGTAAGCTTAAATTAAATTGTATTTAATTTTATTAAATTAATATTAATAGAAGAGTGCAATAATTATGTAATTAAGAAGCAATAAATTCAAGAAATTATATAAAATATTAGATTTCCCTTGTGATATATTGTTTTAATAAGATATATATTTTACATTAAGTAATTTCGTAACAATTTTGGGGTAATCATTTTTTGTTCATCGTAAATGCATAGGTAATAAATTTTAAAGAGTCGAGAGTATGAATGCTAAAGTTTTGTGTTTTATCCTACGTAAACGTTTCTCGAAAGCATGTTGAATAAAAATCGTATTTCCACAACGTTGGTCTCTTGTACGGAACTGTAGCGGATGCAGCGCGGCATGAAACAACCAAACGCGCAGGAAGATCAAGAAGGATAACGCTGATAGACACATCGAAAACAAGGATAACAACGGCGCCGGCACAAGGAAGGAAAGGAAGAGAATCAAAATGGATTCGCGACCTTCTCCCCCAGAGAGAAAAAGAGAGAGAGAGAGCAAGAATGCCGGCGGAAGTTCCGACGCAGTACACTAAATCAACCAGCCCCGACGGTATCATCCCCCTACGGGATGACGAAGGGCGAATAAAAGGGCACGCGGGCTCAGTCATTCGTTATATTTTATTCACGTTTCATTTCACCCGCGACCGAGAAGAGTGGACAGCCCGTAACGAGAACGACAGTGATGCACCGCGACGAGAGAATGCATCGTCGTCGAGAGAAAAAAAAACCGGTCCAAGTATCGATAATTTTCTGAAGAAATAATTACAGCGGTACTTTTGGGGTGAAAAATTATTTGAGTGATGATTGTTGTGGTAATTAAAAATATGATAATGTATGTATAATTAAAAATAATAATCGTAATTGTAAAAAATAATTATGCTATATAAAAATATGAAAAAATTTAATATACATAATATATCAATTAAATGATAACGAAAGAGAAAAATATAATTTTTATGTGATACATGTGTTACAGCTGGTTTATACTTGATTATGCTAAGAAATTGGTGAAATTCGAAAAATTCATATGCAAAACTTCTTACGAAATTTATTTTTGCGTGACAAGACGGAAAATGTCGCACGTATATATTTGTCCGCGCGAATAAAATATTCTTGCTTGACAATTTTATAAAGTCGGCCGCATAAAGATAGTAGGTCAAAAGTTTCTCTATTTTCAAACATCGCAACAACCGCCGGAAACTAGTTCTTGTCTCGTTTTTCCAACAGTTTTATATAAAGCATATGATGCATCACTTTTATCGTCGGTCTTATTGGCTGTTGCGCTGTCAGAGAAATCAAGACATATTTCGCAAAGAGAAAGAGAACATTTCTATTTATATCAAAGAATTCTACCTTTTATATTGTCATCTTTTGATTCTCAATAAATTATAAAAGAATTTTTATTTAAGAGCGATATTTTAAACTTTACTCAACGCGGTACCTTATTAATATCATAATACATAATAAATATTGAAAAGTATATAAAATAATCAAATTGATATTTTAAAATAGTTTCGCAAAGAGAAAGCGAACATTTCCATTTATATCAAAGAATTCTAATTTTTTATATTGTCATCTTTTGATTCTAAATAAATTATAGACACAAATTTTGATTTAAGATATTAAACGCGGTATCTTATTATATCATAATACAATAAATTTTTAAAAATAATCGAATTGATAATTTAAAATAATATCCGTGCAAAAGAAAAAGCGTTCTGGTTATCATTTGGAACGCGCAGAAACAATGTTCGAACACGTGGATAATGACTTTTTTATGTGTTTATTTTTCGTCGATGCGTTTAATCGAATTTTTTATATCCTTTAATGCCTAACATGCGTGCACGAAACGCTGTAAGACTGCTTATGGCTTATATATTTGATGAGCGCAACCGCAGTTCGCCATGCAGGCGGCTGACTATCGAACGGGTTTACTACTGAAAAGCCAACTTTACTCTGTCGTCAGACTACAAAGTGGCTTATCTACTGCGAAACTATACGGGATGTAGATCCTTGCCCAAAACTCAAATTTCCGGCATATCGGTGCCCTATGATTTCAATTAAAGAGCTATATATAGGGTGTGCTTGAATTTCACCATCTTGATTTCAAATTTGAGCTATATTTCATGATTCCAGTTCGAATCTGGTAAAAACTAACAAAGACGAGAAAATCGCAATTCTGAGATCTCTATTTTCTTCAATGTATAATATATATACACTGATAAATAAATATATATATTACGTAGTTTGATATCTATTTTCGCCACCCTGTATTGTGGACTATACACTTCCATGTAATGCAACTGAGCGAATATAACCAAGCCGTTTCCCATGACTGCACAGTCAAAGCAACTAGATATGCTCAAGTTATTCTGTGTGGAACGAAATGACGCAGATAATTTCAATTACAGTATGTATCGCTATAATTATATCCAAATTATTTCGTGTAATTTTGACAAAAACAAGGCTTCCCGAAATTGTTCCTGACATCTGTATTGGCTTCAAAATTTAGCTCTCTTATATCGAACCTTATTTAATTTCGAGTAGTAATTAATTTCAGAAGATAATAGCATTAGTGTTGCAAATATAAATATATCTTTTTTATAAATTTATATATATATATATAAATTTTATAAAAAAGAGATACGTTTATATATATTTTTTTTATGAAACAAAATGACGCAGATAATTTCAATTACAGTATGTATCGCTATAATTATATCCAAATTATTTCGTGTAATTTCGACAAAAACAAGGCTTCCCGAAATTGTTCCTGACATCTGTATTGGCTTCAAAATTTAGCTCTCTTATATCGAACCCTATTTAATTTTGTGTAGTAATTAATTTCAGAAGATAGCATTAGTGTTGTAAATATAAATATATTTTTTAAATTTATATATATATATATATAAATTTTATAAAAAAGAGATACGCTTATATACATATATATATGTGTATATATATATATATATATATATATATATATATTTTTTTTTTTTTTTTTTTTTTTTTTTTTTGAAAGATATATTCAACTTCATTTAACAAATGCATACGGCTGGCAATGTTGCAGAAATTTGACGAAAAGATTTGACCTACATACCTCTCGCGTAAATCACTCTGTATATGCCCTTAGGCGAGCTCGCCGAGCCGTAAAGAAAGAAAAGGAAAGGAGAAAAAGGAGAGAGAGAGAGAAAACAACTTTTCTAACATACTCTCAATTGCTGGGCAACACGCTAGCGTTATGTCGCGGCTGCAACAGGATCGCCTTAACGCCCGCAGTTACGATAGCGTGCCCGAAATTCCGAAATTTAAACGCCGTCGCGCTAACCCATGCCGCTCGATTTTCTCCCCTGCCTGATAACGGGGTTCCCTTCATAAATCTGCCCCAGTACCATACTATATCGCTATTCGAGAGTTTTACGATCGAGATAAACCGCTCGCGCCGCATGTATATACCTATACGAACGAAGCTCGAAAGATGAAGCAGTCGATGAACGTTATGTTATAATTCTACGGTAACGATCGGGATTACTCTTGCTCCCGCTTTCGCTAATTTCAATTTATAATAATATATTTAATACTAATATTATAATAATATAATTTATACGCTCATATTTAACTGTTAATCTCTCTGCTTCCCCTTTTAAACTCATTAACGATAATAGCGTAAATTTTAATAGCTTGTTGGATTTTAACTTTATCATAATATTTTTGAACATATAATTCCAATATGTATCTTTGCATTTTAATCCTCTAAAGAGGCGTGTAAAATTTTTTACAGAAAAAAAGAATACTTGAAGAGTCATATTTTTGCGAAATAAATAAAAGGATCACCTAATGATCTAAAGAGACATATAAAATTGTTTACAGAAGAGAAGACTACTCGAAGAGTCACATTTTTTCCATCCAGAATAAATAAAAGAGACACGGAATAAAAAAATAAATGTCGCGCTAATGACACTTAAATGGCGTGTAATTACGTGATCCGATGTGAATGTTAATGTAGCGAGAGAGAGAGAGCACTCACCGTACATCTGCTGAATCCCGTGTCGGTCGTCCTCTGGCAGCTCGTAGTTGGGGCTCAATCCCTGGTACCAGGGATACATGAGCGCACCCTGGACCGAGCTGTGCGCCAGACCCAGGGAATGGCCGAATTCATGAGCGGCCACCGCGAACAGACTGGTGCCTGAAAGAACAGAGGAGAGATATTCAAGACTCGCTTATCTCGCGCCGCGCCGGCTATATATGCCCTGGCAAACCTCGCCCACTCACGCGCATTGATGTTAACCGCAATACCTGTGAGAGCATTCCGCGCATGTGTGCGCGGAATGCGACACAAGAAGGGTGGCATACAGAATTCGCAGGGCTGCGGAATTTTTATGCACTACACAGTCTGGCCGAATAGCTCGCGAAGGCAAGGAAGCATATACATATAGCGACGTTGGCTACTTCGTGAAATAAGAGTCAGTCGGAACATTTATTTTTATGCTGTATCGACGAAGTTTATTCATATCAATCTCGCGCGCACGTTGTACGTTATATATTTTTTGAATAATTTATATTTGTCTGAAAATTTTCTGAGGAAAATTTAATTCAGAGCTAAATTTAATTCTTGTGGAGATAATAAAATGAACACAATGATCAATTATTAAATATTATTAGGCCCTGTGTAACGAGCACAAAAAATTTTTTTCTAAGAATTAATAAAAATTTTTTGTGCTCGTTACACAGGGCCTAATAATATTTAATAATTTATCATTGTGTTTGTTTACATACGAGCTTAAGCACTGTTAGAATTTAGTTGATTTTGTATGGTAATTGTTATAATAAAATGAGTTCAATTTGGAGAATATATTTTTCGTGTTTTTTGCGAATAAAAAGATATGCTATTTATTTTTTAAGAGAACATATTCAAAAGAACTTGGATATATATCTTTGCAAAAATGCTTAAAAATTGATTTTGATCTAAATATTTAAGTTTTCGATTGCTTCGAAGAATGCTGTCTCACGGTAGAGAGAAATCGAAAACTTGTCAGTGTGCCGAATTTTCCGGGCAATTGCATCGGGAATTGCCGCCACCGTCGCGGAATCTCCGCCTTCGTTTCATTTCGCCTTTCCATTCGATTCCAATCCGCGTCCGAGGAAGTACGTTTTCAAATATGGGTTACGATTGTAAAGTGATCGTCGATACGAGGGTTGCCGTTGCCGGAAAAATTGATAGTATCGCGAGTCGTTGCTTATATCGTCGGAAAACTTTCTCGATGTCGAAATTTCACGAAAAATCCTCGTCCGCGCAAATTTATATTCAGTTATCGCATAAAGAACATATATTTTATACATAACTAACAATTTTTTCTCGCTATATGGATTTATCTAAAAAAATGATCAAATATTTATAAAGCTACAATTTCTATATCAATATAAAGAATTTATTTGAAAAACAATTCAATAAAAATTCGAGATTTAATCAAATTTAGATGTACAAATCTTCAATTCGTAAAGTAAAAAAAATTTTGAATCGAGTAATAGAGATGTATACATATATTTTGTAAAAACTACCATATTTTCGAGACATTTGATATAAATCAATATTATTTATTTCCGTCATATAACACGCAATATAAACTTTATAGGTTTTATAAGTAATGATTTATCGCCCATCCGGGTTTCTCTTGGCTCGCGTCAGAAATGGATTTTGCACTTGAGTGGCAAAATATTATCGAGCGACGAATGTACAGTATACCGCAACGAGGAAACTTTCGCTATATTTCGCAAAGACCTTCTCTTTCTCTTCTTAGGTTACTATATTCATCTCTCGCGAGTTAAATACACAGGAGACGTGACTAAAGACGAGACGATGAGATTCTTAGGTCATGCAAACTTTCAACGTGTGCAAGAAATTATTCGATACTTTACACTATACAGTGTTAAAGTTGAACGCGCGATTGTGCGAATAAGAACCTGACAAAAAGGAACAATATATTGTCTATATTATTTTATATATTTTTAAATATACACATTATTTTTTTTTTAAATAAAATTTATTAATACAAAAATATTCATTTACCTAAAGACATTCCTTTTTCAAATTTCTATCTTTCGCATACAAACATTTGAAATGTTTCAAATGATTTTGTTTTCTCTCTGCGATTCGCCAAGTTAATTGCAAACTCAACTGACATGTGGTCACTCGAAAGTTATTAGCCTAAATGAGTGTCGCAGGTAGTATCGCTCTACACGCGAATGTTTAATAATTCTCGTTAGGCAAACTCGCCATTAACGGCGAGGCGGCCTTCACTTTAAATTAACCCGGTTACAACGAGAGAGGACGATACACATCTCGAACAGAGAACAAATGTAACCGATTTTAGCCGCAAGCGGCGTTCAACCAGTAGTTACGTCAGTTATGAATTGCTAATGTCACGAGCTGACGTCTTCTCAGATTCCATCGTTGCACTATCTTTGCAAATAACGAGAAACTGAGATACAGTTGAATCTGCGAATTACATTGTGTGCGACTGACGCCTCGTGGGAGGTTTCGATTCGCTCTATGAAAGTCATTAATAGCAATCGAAGGGAATATTGTATTATACCAATTATGCTTCGATCCACGCGATATTCGATATTAAATTCTTGCGATAAAAATTAAATGCGCGTTAATATTTATATTAATATTTTTTAATATCAATATTTTTTTTCTCTCTCTCTCTTTTTTTTTTTATTTTAAATTAGAGAGAAACGCGCGAATTTTTATGGAATTTGTGAATCTCGAGTCTTCTGAAGACAAATTGTGAGAAAAGAGGAAGAAAGCAGGATAAATGGAAGACAGATTTTTTTTTTTTAATCGAAAACGTGTATAAACTTTGAGACTTTAATTCTCTTACTCGAAACGCTTCGCCACGATGTCCTTAATTCCTTTAGTGGCAGTGTAGACTGATATCGTAAAGGTCTCCAGATTTAATCATCAGGAAAATCAACTTTGATAACTATCTTACCTAAATCAAACTCCACGCTTAACAGAGAACTTAAGTACAGCATGTTTCAAAACCATCACTGTTCTTTTCAGATTCTACGACCGATTTAGAGATAATATTTTTTTATATTATACGCAATACATATATTATATAATGTTATATAAAATTTGGATTTATTTTTCCTAACCAATTCAATACTATTAATTCTTCGACTTTAAATAACTTCGTAAAATAAAAATTCTTTTGAGTGACAAATCAAAATTAATTCAAAAGAGATTTAATATTTTTAATTTTATTTCAAATTATACACTTTAATATTACTTTAGCTCATATGTTGTAGTAATTAAAATCAGAAAGAAAATGGTATTTTTTGGAATGGAAGAATTTTTATTCGTTCTTGTCGCAATCGAAAAGGAATTTAAGCCGACAAATCTGAACATCGCGTCGTCCCGATGTCAACACGGAGTGCCGAAATTAGCAATTTGAATACGCATGCAACGGTTCTGTTAATGGAGGCGAGAGAGACTTGTGGCAATGTCGCAGTGTACGATGGTTATAACTATGCTAAGAGAACTGTGAACGTGCTTGGCGTTAAGTCGACGCAATATTAACGACGCCGTGCAAAGGCCGAATATTTGGTTCAAAAGAGATTCAAAATAATAATAATAATAATGATGATAATAATAATAATGCTTATTATTGTTATTATATTCCCCTCCGTAGAAATAATCACGCCGAAGTAAATCCGACTTCCGATATCGGAACGATCCAATTAATTAATACGGCTAATTAATAGCTCGAACGTGGTGGCAATTAAATTATTCCGTCTCCCTTAGGGAAAAGAGAGAAAATTAGCCGATGGCTTTGCCAAGTATACGGAACTGCATTTACAAGACGTTTAAAAAGAAATTTACGAGAGCACGCCGCTGTTGGTGATAAGCGAACGATGTTTTTATTAAGAGCCTTGATTATAAAGTTAAAGTTTCGCAGGGGAAAAAATTGCAACTTGCCGTCACAAGAGTAAATAGTAACGATTGAACTTTAAGCGTAAGTTACGGCAAAAGTTTTGAAATATACAGTCGAGTAATTTTTCTTAGCTAATGGCAAAAAAAATTTATGTTCAAATAAAGTTTCGAATTTGCACGGTTAAATAATACTTTTTTTTTAATAAGAAATAAAAGTGTGTATATATATGTATGTGTTTGCTCAGTTATATTCTAATTTACTATTCCAATCTTTATTTTTGCTTTCCGGAGTTTTGCAGTAAGATTTTGTTTTAAAAAACAGAAAGTTTAAAGAGAAAGCTTAAATAAAAAAAATAAATTTTTAATTATTTATATTTTAGTATTATCTAAAATTTTTAATATGATTATCATGTGTCAATATATATAATATATATTAATATATAAACAATAATAAATAAATTAAAGTGTAAATTCTACAAAACTTTCGCAGTATTAAAAAGAGGACTACATTTTATTACAGGAGATATTTTTAAAACATTTTTCGTTCTCTGTAAATTTTCACGGTGTAGCAATTTTATTTTCGCGAAGCGATTTTGCTCGAGCAAATTAGTTTTTCCTGAGGAAAAAGCTGGTACCGCGGATTGTATTTCGTGATGTTCATTCGCCGTTGCCTGAAACTTCCGGTTGCAGGTAAGTAGGTAAAGTATGACGCGACATGGCGCGCCATGAAAGTACAGAAACGTATTATGCAGAATATTGCAACGACATTGCAGTAATGCGATAAAAACGATATGACGGACTTTGTTGAGCTGCACTAGAGTTGCACGAGAGCGAACATATTGACTAAAATATTTCACGTCGTCTTCCTCGCAATACTCGTGATAAATTCTCAACCGCGTATACAAATCGCTCCTAATTATTCTTTGCTAATTACTTTTCTTCGAGTAATGAATCGATTAAATAAAACCTACTCGACGAAATGAACAATAATTATAGAGAACAAGATGTTCCATTTTATTAAATTCAAGTTAAAAAACCTTTTACAATACTATCTGTTATATATAATCCGATATTATATGTATAATTAATCTATAAAAAATTGCAAAGTCGAAATTAATGTTTAGCTATTAATATAAATTTTCTACGATATTATTTATTTAAAAAAAATAACCATGATATAAATTGAAAACAATTTATAAAGAGAAATATAATTATTGTATGTATTTTATTAGTATATGTAAAACACACACAAACACAAAAATTTCATAAATATCTTTCACATATAATATTCAACAAATATTATAGAATTATTATTAAAGAGACGTACTTCAATTCTAAAGGAAAAATCTCGAATGTCGCGTAAGAAAAGACGCTCGCGGCGAGTTCTATCGAAATACAATTTAGGAATTGTAGCGCGTTAATGAGCAAATAATCGGGTAGTATCTTTAACTAATTGTCATCGTGATGACGCGACGATTCGCGACGCAAATCACATAATTAAACAATCCCGGGGCAAGTATGAAAGACGAAGCGGTTGGATTCGCTCTCTCCTGTCCACCTCATCTTCGCGAGCGACGGCGTCGCATCGTCTCGATCGTGCACTAATTAAACGCAAGCCAGCCCATTAAGGAAACACTGTTAATCATTCCAACAGGTTGTCTGTCGCGCCTGCTCTTTCTTGTCAGTTCTCATCAAGAATCGCCAAGTATTTCATTTTAATTATTAAATAACTGACATGTTCAATGAAGGTATAATCAAATTTTTAAAAAATGTATCTATCAATTCTGTGTAAAAAGATTTTGACAGAATAGAAAAGGCGTTAATTAAAATTTTTAATGCAAAACGTCCGATTAATAATTAATATCGCTAAATATACGGATGTGAAAATTCATTGAAGAAAAACACAGCAATTCTTCTTACGTTAGAAGTACGAAAATGACACGACAAAGGGAGGAATCGATATAGAGAAGACTCGTAAACGGTATTGCGAGTATCCTCGTACGACGCTCATGCGTATACCTTTATACACCATATCCAGCATTTTATATCGATCGTAACGATATAACGGCGGCTTTGATAGAATCTCGAAGGACCGCTTTCCCGAGTCATCCTCGGGAAAAAGCTTTCTTCCCGATGTAGGTGGTCGATTTGGCACGACGCCAAAATGCGGTCAAACTCGATCGGTGCGTGAAAGTTGATCTCGCGCGGGATATATATCGGGCGAGAGACGGATACATTTCGTACAGTTGACCGAATCGCATTTCGACGGATTTCGCCTGGAGCATCGATATACAGATACGTTTTCGAGTAGTTTGGACAAAAACAATTCGAGCGTGAATGGTATCCATCGCAAATAGAAATAAGTAGCTTCCGATTCACCTCTCGTCACCTCAACTTTACTTTGCTACTTCAACTGCGAGTTTGGAAAATTTATTCGTCCGAGAAAGAGAGAGGGCAGAATATTGCGACGCGAACTTAAACCCGCTCGAATTGTTCCTCGACCGGAATAGGAAAATTCCTGATCCACTCACCTTCCTCGTTGCTATCGTTCTCCAGCAACCATATCTCCTCCTCGTCGAAGTGAGCGTCCCCGCCGCGATCCTTGCCCGGGAAGAACGCGTGCGCCAGGATCTGACCTCTGCCATCGAACGGATATCCATCTCCGTGATAACCCCTGAATAATGCGCAGGGAATATTACGTGGCGTTTCACCGAACAAAATTATTGGCCGCCGTGAGTTTGCATTCTATATCTATATACGGCCACTGTAGAATTATGTCACGGAATTTTCGGCGTGGAATTACGTCACAATGTTATTATTATTATTATTATTATTATATCGTATACGAGATATCGTGTCGCGCAATATAGTGGAAATAATTTCGCTAACGGTGGTGAACGCAGCTAATAGCTGATAAAATTGCTCCAAATTTCATACGAAAGCTCGAACTTCCAAAACCGCGCGCAATTCCCCGTTACAATCGATTTATCGTATCAAATTCATTGAATTTTAAAATTATCTTTAATTTTTTACTTATTAGTCAAAGTGCATCACGAATTTACCCTGAAAATCATGGTAATCGTAGGGCAATATAATATTGGAAGAATCTTATAAGAGTTTCTCTGATTAATATTTACTACAATAAAAAATATTAATATGTACACAGTAAAATTAATCGAATATATTTTATATTTTATCGTGGTAGATATTAATATTTTTATTGTCGTCAATATTGATTATAGATAAACTTTTACAAAATTCTTTCAGGGTAAATTCTAAGAGAAAATTCTCTCTATGTATTTATCGTGCGATTCATTATTCGTGTGCGCAAACATTTTTTTAAATGTAAAAGTGATTTCTCGCATATAAATCAAATAAATAAATATATAATAAAATTAATTATAAATTGTATAATTGATATTAAACTTACCGATGAAAATAAACCAGAATATCGGCGTGGTCGCTGTTAATCTCCTGGAAGGTGAGTTTCGAATTTCTCTCCCAGAGGTAGAGAGCATTTCTCAATTCTCGTCGGACTCCGCCTGTGTCCAGACCGCTGGGTTGCTCAGTTCTCAGACTGCAACGAAAGAAAAAAAAATTCCCACGTGAGAAATATTGATTGATCAATTAATCGGCGGTATTAGGAAGGATATATGGTGACATAAACAGGGAATATTTGCTCGGCGTTCACCAAGACGATATCCGTTAAACGCTGAGCAAACTCAGCTGATCGATTTCGCTCAAGTATTTGCCAATTATCAATTACCTACACACGACCGTTACGTAAAGACGAAGAAAATACGTCATGTTCGCAATATTTTAGGATTGTCAACATTGACTTCGAGCGTAACAGTGCGCCATTTCGATATAATAAATTTGAATTTATATTATAATGTGGTGTAGCGACTTGTGCTTTAATTAATATACGATATTATCTGTATCGTGTGCGTATTTTAATTTTTACATGATAATTTATATATAAAAGTAAAATTATGTATGTATGATATAGGATATATTTTCTGTTTTTATTAATTTGATATATTTTTTGCAGATATTTTTTATCCTACATATAAATGGAATTTACCTTTAATTTATAAATTATGTCCAAAGCAGATGAGTTCTCTCTATGCCGCGGTTAATTTCAATTTCAAGTGTAATTTTGATGCAGCAAAATTCAGTTTTGCTCGGTTAGATATAAATAACGAAATGTTTATATACATATATAGACAGCATATATATATATATAATTTCTAAAGCATTTCTAAAGTAGCTTGCAGTAAATAAATCGTATTACGCGAACATAAATTTCAAAGATATATAATTAAATCTCGCTTAAAATCTTTTATCCTCGTTTATTCATCACCGTAATTTTCCCGATTTAAGTCGCCTTTTCGCGAAACTCCGCAATTATGCTTGGCGCACAAGAAACCACTGTTTCGCTCTTGGCAAACTTACTATTTACACGAGGTCGGAAGTAAAACAGCCGTAAGTTTCTCGCGGCAGACGCGAATATTTTGCCGAGTTCGGCAAAGTACGGAAGATGCGAAAAGTTTTGCAGCTCGAGAAACGAGGATCATCTTTTCTTTTTCATTTTTTTTCAGGTAAACACTCCAGATGTACGTTCAAATAACACCAACATTCGTGTATTTGCGAATATCACGCAAGTTGACACGGCAACTAAAATAATTAAAAGTATCACCGTTCTCTCTGAAACTGTCGGCTTCCGGTGGAATCCATGTCGAAAGAATTTAGAACTTTTGAAGTAACAAAGGAATTAATTGTTTCGCGCGATATCAGCTTTATTTTAATGACCTACAATTCCTTCTCGAACGCGACTTGCATAATTAATATGCGAGAAAATGTTTGTAATTTCTTTCATTGCCTCTTTTAATTACCCCAAGACTTTGGAAACTCGGGCAAAGAGACTCTTTTACGTTCTTCGACATCATTCAATTTACGTTTCGAATGTTTCTATTTTTATATTTTTAAAAGTAACACAGATTTTTATACGATGCATTATTCATATAATTTTATAAGAGAAATTTCATATCATAAAATATCCCCATTTATCTCTAGACTTGAAGTTTTCCAATCAATCTATCTATTCATTCAGCTACAATTGTACAATTCATATTATTCCATTAAGTTATTCTATTTTTATATTTTGAAGAATAACAAAGATTTTTTATACGATGCATTATTCATATAATTTTATAAGAGAAATTTCATATCATAAAATATCCTCATCTTTCTCTAGATTTCAATTTCTCGAATCTATCAATTCATTCAGTTACAATTGTACAATTCATATTGTATTAAATAATTCTTGACATATAAATAATATTATTCCTATACATATCCACATTTTCATTTAAACAAGAATTTCACTTCAATATATAAATTTGCTTAAAAATCTGATTTTTCCTACAAAATTAATTACAATGAAGTACGATTTTTCCCTATATTCATTTAAATCGTATAACCTTCGTCATTCGTTTAATTCCGATCGCATTTATTATACAAACGCCGAGCGCGTACGTCAATACGAAATGAAACGACCGCGCATTAACTCCCATCCGACTTTTGATGAAGCGATTCGAGTCGCGTCAATACGCGCGATTTACGTCGACAGAAAGCCTGCCACGACGATTTGCATTATTAACGGCCGTCCAACGGTATAATATCGGAAATGGGAAACGGGGTCCAGTAATATCAACGATGACGATTGCGTATCGCCACGACGCATCGTCATCATCGTTGCCTGTTTTACTGAAAATGATCAACGTATATCGTTTAATTAAGCAAACCGAGCCGACACTGATCGATACACTTGGACGTATTTACCTCTCGACGCGTTTCCGATTTCACCGGACAGGGTACTCGTGCAATTTCCTCTCTCGACCGCCGAGAGATAACGCGTATACAGCAAAATTCTCCAACGATCCGCGAATCTGCCGACTAGTTCGAAGCTTCATTCGCGCATTCAGAAATTTCAAACTCAGATTTCCGGAAATATGTATATAGGATCAAGAAAATCCAATTCTTTCCTCGCATATATGCAGGGTGTCACACCAAAAATGCACAAGTAGATCTTGTTATTTGGAGACAATTTTTCCTCAGCCAAAATTCAGGCATTCATCAATCATTTTTGAGTTATAAGCGATCGAAAATAAAGGGTTTTTTTGCAAACTAAGCCTTGTGGAAATCCAATTAATTTCAGGTAGAGTTTACTCGAATAAAATTTTAGGTTTAGTATGAAAACTGGGACAATGCAAAAAATGATGGCCTCTCTCGATATTTTTGCTGAGAAAAAATCGTCTCCAAATAACGAGATCTACTTGTATTTTCGATGTGACACTTTAGACACCCCGTGTATATATTGTATATATGCGTGCATTTTGAATACGCTTGAAAATAAAACTTTAAATTCCACATACATATATACAAGGGAGAAATACGTTTCGAAAAGTTACATCGCATTGTTCTCGACTCGAAGTTTGTGAAATTCCGGCGTTCGAGAAACTTTGAAGTGAAAATTTTAATTTTCACGCGCGCGTAACAAATCACAAGAATGCTTGAAACGGCAAAATTATCGGAATAACTTTGATGCGCGCGATCAAAAAGCGATCGGTAAATATATGCGCAATAATAGATACACCGCAAATTTGCGACACGTAAAATGCGAATATATGGAATGGTTTTGCACGCGACCCCGTAACGGAAGGATATTATTTCCCGATATAAATTCGCTATCGATCGCGTTCTCCGTTTCGCATCGTTCTCGAGCAAAACTCTCCATCTTCCTCAACAAGCGATACACAGCCTGCGTTGTCTTTTCATAGCCTGGCGTAACACGTCTTTGTAATATACAAGAATAATAGAAGCTCGTGATAGAGTTGCGAAGAAGCGTGGCCAAAGTAAAACAGAGAATAATTGACAATCAAAAAAGAACCGGAAAAAATATGCGATGCATATTTTTCTCTAAAGGGAAAAAATAAAATTAAATAAACAAAGAATAAAATTTATAACATTTAAAGTAAAAATTTAAATAAACAAATATAATGCGTATTTGTGTAAACACAAAAAATACACAATATTTGAAAATATCCTTTTTCCCAGAGTGTATGCGCTCTACATAGAAGCAGGATTTTTATATTTTTATATCAAATCTTTCTTTGCATATCAAGTAACCAATGAGTGTAAAAATTTTATGCAGCCACCAGTACGCTTTATAACACATATCTAGCTTATTTTGGATAAAAATTATATCGAAGCGATAATAAATTATAAAAATAGAAAACAAAATTCTCAAGTCGTATTTGACCCATAAACGAAGAAAAAGGAATCAAACGCGCGCAATACGCAGGCAATTTAACGCCCGTTAGACAACCGTCGGAGATGAATGGATGAATAGGCGTCCAGACAACTAGGTAAATTGATAGTTACGGCTCGCCTAAGATAAAATGCTCTCTCAGTTTGAAACGAGTGTGCTTTGCCCGAGTGCCAAGTGAAGTTTCTCACACTGTCCGCATTAATTTAAGTTCGTTTAGACGTCGATAAAATCTTAACGACGATATCTGTCGACGTCAACTATTATAGACGGACAACATTTTTAAATTAAAATTCTAGACAAATTTATGTATTAATTTTTAGAAAAATTTCCCTAGAAGAAATAACAATTACCCACCCAGATATAATTAGAACGGTTAAAATAATGAAGAAAAATTCAAAAAAGATGATAGAAAAAAATAGAAAAATGAAGTTATAAGGGATAAAGGAAAAGAGGTAGAGATTTTCTACAATCTCGAGTAAAAATCGTCTTTATCGTAATAATTCTTTCTCCTCGGTCTTTCGATTTCCATCTTTTTAAAGGCCATTCTCGATCGCAATTAAACCTTGATGCAAGTTATCGCGTTTCATCCTATAGTAACAACTTATTTAATGATTCATCGACAATTTACCTTCAATGGAACGATTTACCTCGGGAGTTAGTTATACATATATATATATATACATATATATATATCGGACGCGTTCAATCTCGCGAGTAACCATATCGGAGTACACACCATTAATATCCGCACCTCAAACATCGTCTGGTATTCATTCCGCGGCCAATCGGTAATGAACATCGAGAAGCGTGAAACGGTATATCGCGATAAATGTCGTTTGCATCGCAAATGTAGCCAGCGACGCAGCGACACAGTAGGCTGCTCGTAAATATTTCCAAGCGCGCGTTTGCTTTATTAATGGTTCATAAGAGCAAGGGGGAGAGAACAATGCGATATTTCGAATTATTGAATTTTCGCATTAAACGATGCCACGTGTCCCGTGAAGATTATACTGAAAAATGGATCAAACATATATACATATATATACATGTATGTCTCATCGGCGTAAGTAATTGCGATCAAATTCCGCGCGGAATTTCAGATCCGATGATTAAATGAAGCCGTATGATACGGTAATTTACAAAATTGCATACATTTTGCGACAAAATTTCGTTGTCTTTTTCGACACTTATTATTGTATTAAAAACAAATTTCTGAGATGTATATACAAAGTTTATTAGTTTTG